AAAAGAAAATATAAAAATAAAAACTATTGAAAATCATTAATAAAAACTATAGTTGCATCTCAGAGATACCAAAATAACCTAATAACTAAAATATCCCTTTTAAATTAACCCTAATATATTTATTATTATTATATTAATTATATAATATAATAATATAATAAATTAATGAAAACTTTAGAGATTTAAAAAAATTAAGATTTTTTTTTTTTTAATGACAAAAGCACTAAACAAAAATACTAAAACTTTAAAATTAAAATGAAACCAGAAAATATATTTAAAAATCTAAATCTTAATAAAACCTATACTATCACAATGATACTAAAGTAACTTAACTAAAATTACCCTGTTTGTATATAGTTTCTGCTGTATATTACATGAATTATTATTTATTTATTTAATGCCATATGCTGCATATAATATATAGATTTGTTAAGAAAGTATGCTACAGAAAAAAAACTCTTTATGGTCCTGAAAACAGGCTTCCTTTTGTGTAAGCAAAATATACTTTCTTATTTATTTATTTGATTTGGGGTGAAATATGAGCTGTAAACGTTCTTGACAAGTTTCAAGTCAAATGTGCGACATGAATATTTATGTGCGCACGTGATTATGCAAATACGAGCTGTACATATGCATTTAATTTGCCTCTGCAACCACATGATGTTCATTTTCTGTGGTGAGTGGTGAAGTTAATAATCTAATATGCAGATTTGTGTTATTGTTTCCACAGTAACGGATAACATGCATATTAACAGCTTTGGTAATGATGCGAATGCCAAACTTTTAAAGTACAAGAGCATTTAATGAAACTAAAAACAGCAAACATGACTCATTCAGAAATCATTGTGATTATGACATCACAACCGTGAGCCCATTGACATATTTGACCCCAAGAGGTCAAGTCTTAAAGGTACAGCGGCCTGTTTAATTAATAGGTTAGAAAGAAGGTGGAAAATGTTCATAAATCTCAATTACACTGGAAAAAAACTGATGTAGGATTTATTTTGAAACATTTTCACTCAGAAATTGCTACTGGATTTCACAATTAATTACAAATAATTTCAACTCTGAAAATAAACTTTTTTACATTGTACGATTGTTTTGCTTCCTAAAAAACCTGACATTACGTAGAAATTGTGTGAGAAAATGTGACTGAAATCCATTATGCCTTTATTTTAGGGTATAAAAACCATCTATATTTAAAAATCTGTGAGTTATATCATGTATAATGAATACATGCGCAGTGAAAAATAAGGCCAGAGAACTTTACATCACACACGGCTGTCAAACAGTACTTTTAACCTACATCTACCAAAAGAGAGCTGTAGAGGAGGAATGATAAAGCAGAAGCGAGGGAGGCAGAGAGCGATATTTGCATGCCACCTCCTGTTTTAGCCCGTCTAAATGAATGGTTACTATAGCAACATTTTCAGATGTGATTCTGTGAACCTGTGGCAGTTTTGACCCTGGAAAACGTACCCCAAAGAGTCTCGCAAGCTGCGTCCTTGACAATATCTAGTTTGTGAAATACAGACGAGCAAAAATAACATTGTTTAGCAGCTTGCAAATCACCATATGCTAATATCTCGGCCTACAATGGCAGTTTTTGTGCTCTCGTTTTAGTTCAACAAGTAATGAGTACACATCTAACTACGTGTTAAATTAAAGTGTGCCAACACGTGATGAAGCCGACAGACGTGCGGATGTTTCTGGTGAAGCGGCGCAGATAAGAGAAAACAAGCAGAAGCTCTTGGAGAGAAATGACTTTACACTGTAATACTGAATATGAGGCGCACACAACTCAGACTAACAGAGAGAGGCTGGAGTGAATGAATGGTGCTGTGAAGCACACAGGGTTTGGATCTGACTCAGGGTACATGTAATATTACGTTTGATGTGAGCCAAAATAAGGTTAATGGGTCTTTATTTAGCACTGCATATGTGGAATGGATCTAAAAAAATTGTTTTCATATTTTTTTTTAAATAAAATATTTATACATTCATTAATTATTAATAATAAAATTTGATTATCAATATTTATATATTTTATTTATATAAGATCCATGTAAATTTTTTGTAACATTTCTTTTTAATATGAAGTAATAGTTTATATTAACTTAAATATAAAGTTTGTGTGGTTTAAAATATTTCTTTAAAAATTTTATATAAATATTTATGTATTGTCTTTTTTGTAATACTTATCTCTAATAGGTAATGTACATATTAACTATTAAATATAAAGTTGATCGAGGTAATTGTATTTGTGTATAAATATTTTTTTAAAGGGGTCATATGATTGCTAAAAAGAACATTATTTGGTGTATTTGGTGTAATGAAATGTGTTTATGCGGTTTTGTCAGGGATTCATCACAGTCACTTCAGTCACCATCCAGGATAATTACCCGATCACAGTCACCTGAGTTCTGATC